GTCTTCTTTAAACCAAATAATAAAACCCAAAGGCCAGACCCACTGCCACTGAGTCAGTTCTAAATGGCATAGTGCCTAATGCACTTGACTGCTAACCAGAAGGCTGGCAGTTCAAACCCATCAACCACTCCTCGAAAGGAAGGTTGGGCAATCTACTTCCGTAATATCGCCTCGGAAACCCAAGGAGGGGTCACTATGAGTAAGATCCGACAGCAGTGAGTTTGTTTGTTTGTTTGTTTTGATAGGACAGAGTAGAATTGCCCCATTAAGGTTTTCAAGGCTATAAATCTTTACAGAAGCAGACTGCCTCATCTTTGTCCTGTGGAATAGCTGGTGGGTTTAAATTACTAATCTTTGGGTTAATAGTCCAACACTTTAACCACTGCACCACCAGAGCTCTTTTAACCAAACAACAGTTTAGCTTAATTAGTACAGAATGTCTGCCTTGAGCATGGTGGTTTTTCAAAGAACTATCTACGTGGGATCCCACTGGCAACAGCAACTTGAAAGGTTAGACAGGAAGCTAAGGGGACAGTGAATTATGTTAAAGGCGGAAGAACAACTTAGAAAAGAAGAATGAGAATGGTCGCATGACTCAGAATATAATCAACGTAACTGAACTGTACATGTACTAAGTGTTGAGTTGGTGCACGTTCTGCTGTGTATATTTTCAGCAACAACAGCAAACATTCAATTTTAAAAAACTTTTAAGAAAAAGCAAAAAAATCATTAAAATGTTTTTAAACATTTAGTCTTAAGCAAAAATAATGCATAACTAAGACTTTATTTTTAGGAAAAATCAGATTCTTTGATACTGCAGAAACTAAACTAAAAGCAAGGACAAGGTAGGCAGAGCCCCCTTTACTGTCCCACACAACACACTTATGTTTCTATTGTCCATGCTGTGCAGAATTTTCCAATAGACATACACATATGCATTAATTCATAATTCTCTGCTATGTTTATTAGATAATTAAGCTCAAAAAGATGATTGTTGTTGTTATATGCCGTCGAGTCGGACCTGACTCATAGCGACCCCTCCTTGGGTTTCCAAGGCAGTATCACTACAGAAGTAGATTGCCCAACCTTTAGGATGCATATATTATGAGCTAATTGCAAAAACAGATTTATTTTAGAAAATGTAAAAGGACAGAAAAATTCAATAGAAAGAAAAAGGGAAAGAGAAGAAAATATATTGGCAAGACTTCTTACAGCGTTTCTAGTAATTTTTGCCAATTTTTAATGGTCCTGGCATTTGTGCAAGAATATCTAATAATGGTACCTATTGGAATAGACATATGATGTGAGAAGTAGTCATTTTTGTTATGTAGCAAAAATTATACAAACTGGCAATGAAAATGTTGTTTTGTTTTGCAAATGGTTAGATAAGAAGAAAGTCCATTCATCATTACTTAAGCATGCCACTGATTCCCAAACAGACAAGATTCTGACCTTGTCCGAGACCTGAGGGAATGACACTGCATGCTTACTGGGAACATGAAACGTGAAGAATGAGATAGTTGATCCCTGAAGCACACAAACAGCTCCGTATATAAGCAGCACCCCCCCATCAGGGCCCACCTTTAAAAAGTTCATTAGTGGGAATCAAAAGGTGCAGGTGGCCAAATCGTATCATTCGTTGCTTGACTAGCTTTCTAACTATGCCGAGACATGAAAGAATAACAACGTCCATGGTCTGTGTCCTTGTCAGTTCCAGCTGAGTCCACTGACACCTGGCGACCCATGTGTGCAGAGTAGAGCTGTCCCCGGGGTTTAAAGTCCGTGACCTTCCAGCAGCAGACTGCCAGGCCTGTCCTCCGTGACACCTCGGGTGCATTCCAACAGCCACCCTTTCAGCTAGTAGTTGAGTGCTGAACCATTTGTGCATTATGGTCTTCGCATTCCTATTAAGTTGCTATTTCTTTCTTTCTTCATACATATAATTTATTTTATTTTTCTTGTTGCTGAGAATACACACACCAGAACATGCATGAATTCAACACTTTCTAAATGTACAAGTCAGTGACACTGATTTCATTCTTCAAGTTGCCCAGACACTCTCACCCTCCTTTGGCGAGTCATTCCATCTCCATTCACATCAGCTCACTGCCCCTTGAGCTTCCTGTCTAACCTGTTAAGCTCATGTTAATTTGATCCCAGTTAGTTCTTAAAAGAGAATAGTGCTCAAGGCAGACATTCTTCAAGTTAAGCTAAACTACTACTTGGTTTGAAGAAGATGTTGGGATATTTTTGTTTTAAAGTTTAAAGAGTATCTCAGGACAATAGTCTCAGGGGTTCATCCAGTCTCTGTGGCTCCAGAAAGTCTGGAGTCTAGGAAAATTTGAAATTCAGTTCTGCATTTTCCCTCTTTTGATCAGGAATCTTCTATAATATCTTTCATTTCATATGATAAAACATGACACAACAAAAAACTAATCAGATTCTTGACCTCTGTCTCACTAGTTCAATTTTATATTACTAGCTTCAATTTCAGTGAAATAAACAATGAAAACAAAAAGTATTCATTTGAAGGAAAAAGAAACTAAAAGAAAATGCTGCACAAAAATAGAAAGGAAAGACATGCTTATGGGCTATTAAGCTAGAGATACCAGTATAGTTCACAACAGGAAATACAAAAAATTTGCCCAATAAGCATGAGCAGTTTTAGTATAATATGCCTTCATTTATAAAAGTGCATTCCCAGGACACTCAGAAGAGGGATATAGTACCTTCTCAGAGTTTAAATACATTTCATACATCAAACCTTGTCTGAATCTGATTTATCTAGCTTCATTTTTTATTTATTTAATAAATAAATAAATTTAATAAATAAATAATGGCAATACCATCAGGATGTGCCTTCCTGCCTCCCCAGGGACCTTTATATCACTAGCTAAAGTCTGAACAGCAAGAGGAATAAAGAATGTATACCTATTACAGCTGAAATCCAAAATGAGTTTTGTGTTTCTATTTTTATCTTGATTTAAGACTGTCATATTGACTGACTGCTTACCCAAATCCTCTTGAAGGTCAAAAGAAAACTGAAAATTTTCAATATTCTATACTACACTTACGGGCTTAATTATACTTAACTGATTATGAAAATAATATCTAGTACTCCTATAGCTAAGGGTCATTTGTCCTTTCCTGCTAGGAAAATTACTGGAAAAGGAATGTTTTTTGGTGTGGTCTCATTTGTAAAGAACTTCATATATTTAAATATGTGAAAACTGCACGAAAATTACATTCTACTCCTTCATCTTATTTAATTTAAACAAGTCCTAGAAAAGCTTAGCATGCCTTCTATTAAAGAAATATCAACAATGGATTAATATTTATGGTACTTTAAATATAATGTTTTACAAATGTCTTTTTTTTTGCTATAAGTACATGCTTTTTTTTAATACTAATTACCAAAGAAAATGTTTCTAAATGTAAGTAGCATCATACTGCTAAGTTCAACCAAATAACAAGTCAAACAATATGGCTATTTAATAACAGTAACAGTTAATATACACACGTACACCATATTTACCACACACCAAGTAAATGTGAACTCATTTTATTTCTGCAGCAACTATAAAGTATTAAGTATTATGAACCTCATTTTATAGATGAGGAAACTGAGAAACAGAAGTCCAGTGACTTGCCCAAGGTCACAAAGCGAGGAAGTGGTGGGTCATAGATCCAAAGCAAAAAGTCTGACTCCAGAGCCCAGAACAAATGCCATCTGGTTACTTTGTCAAGGGCCCAAACCAGCAAACACAAAACTGTGCTGCTCACGTGATGGTCCGTAACAGAACAGAACACAAAAATCAGTTAAAACTGTGCACACATAGTACACCAGCAGTTATGTTTTTAAAAAATGCATAGAAACAAAACCAAAAAGAAGTATGTCAAAACACTGGCAACATTTACCATTGGGCAATGGTTAGTCTTTTTTCTCTTGTAATATTTTTGCACTAAAAAGATTTTAAACAAAAAGCAAGAATCTCTTTTGCAATCAGACAAGAACAAGTGGAAAAGCAAAAAAGTCTGACATACTTCAAGAGAACTCCTCTCGTTAAGACTGACCACCACCTGCCACCATGTAAAAGGAATTTAAATAGAAGGTCACTGAAGACCACAGCTATTCATTCCCGAAAGTGTTAAGAGAACTCCATACTGCACCACAGCACAGGCAGAAATGTGCATACGGTTTGACTTCAAAGGGCACTATTTAAAACAAACACACACAAAAGATAAAGAAGGAACAGAAAACACTTAGCTAACGTATAACACAACTAGAACTGTAAAAAAGGAAAAAGTTTTAAATACTGTAGGTGATTATTTAAAGTACTAAAAGCAGAGTAGAATGTTTCCAAGGAAGCCTTAACTAGTAAACTTGTCATTGTAAACTTAAAAGTTTCCCAGGGAAAACTATGAGATTCTATGTGCAAACATAGTATTACATTGTGTGTGCTATTAATTGAAGGCACTACTTGCCCCATATTATACCCTACACATAAATTTCTGAAACTTGACATTTTAAGTGTTTTCTCCAGAACTTGAAGCCTTTGTTTCCCTCACTTCCTACAATTAACTGCCCCCGAGAATGCTTTTCTGATGTTTAAATAAAAGAAGATTGTAAGTTATTCATCTGAGACAAAACTGATTCCTTCACCTTGTTCACAGTTTACCTCGTCACTCATACAGAAATCACTCACATTTTTGTCACACGCGTGACAAAATGTCTGTCCTCATCTGTCTATTGTCTTCAACTGCACGCCCTTAGAGACCGGTGAACTGCTCTACAAGTATCTAGCATAGCACACCAAAGAAACAAGCACTTAAATAGTGCTTGGTTGACTATGATGAGAACTTTAGAAAAAGCAAGGATCAGAAATAAAAGTAGTAATCGTTTTACACTTCAGAGCTTTTTCTTCATGTGTGTGTGAAATTTCTAGGAAATCAAATCTACCCATTGAATTTTCTCATCTCTCTCTTGCAATTGTTCTTACCGGTATCCATTTGCCAGACGTACACAGAGCCGTCGGAACATCCCACCACCAGGTAGTCATCAGAAGGCCTCCACTTGATGACTTGGATGGGGAAAAGGTGACGAGATGCCAGCATAATGCACTTCTTCTCGCGCAAACTGAGAAGTCCCACCGAGTGGTCACTGGCTACAGAGCAGATGCAGTGCTGCACTCTCGCCTGAAAAGAAGAAAAAAGCTTAATCGTATTGAGATTCAAGTCAGAAGAAAATGGATCTTAAACCAAAATTAATCATACATTCAGTATTGTTGACAACCAACCATAAGATATGGCTATGTTCAAATATATTCACTTCTTCATATCATACACAAAACACCCAGTTCAGTCCTCACAACACCTAAAAAATATATATACTAAATTAATCCTAGATCAGAAATGGAAAAGATGTGTTAGGAAATGTGCTGTTTGAATTTGAAGACCACCTTACTGAAGAGACTACTGCTGCATCTGAGCTGGCAGAGAGGGGGAAAAAATTGATCGGTTATTATGCATCCTTTCCACAGTATGAACTTCCCTTTGTTTGCCACAAGAACTGCTTTCTGTTACATTTCTTTCTGTTGGTGACTCTGTCACTTAGACTCTTGCTCTTCCCGGCACCTTTGCTCAGAAGCAGTACCCTCGTGGGCCCTCTGCCACCCCCCCCCCAGGGGCCACAGCTCTGTCGCAGAAGCTGTCCCTGTGCCCCCCTGCTGGCTCTCAGCTTCCATCTACAATGCTGGTAGGTGCCACCTCAGCCACCACACAGCAGCCAGTTAGCCATTCTGCTGGGCCTTTCTGCTCGTCTCTCGTTTTGACCCTTCAATTCCTTTTCAGAAAGAGATGATACAGAAAGGATCAAGCCAAGACACAGTAAGGACTTCCATTAGCAACAGAGAACTGAACTCACCCTCTAGAACATTACAAAGTAGTGTCTGCAAATTTTTGCAAGGCCACTTATAAGCAACTGAGAACTTTTCAGTGACTTATTTAGATCATGCTTCCAGTTCACACTGAGGGAAACCACAAAGCAGCCATCTGAAATGCCTGATTGGACCAATCGTAGCTATTGACGGAGGATGAGGACCACTGCACTACAGACACACCATCCCTTCTATGGGAAACTTCTCAAGTCTCATCCTGCAGTGCTCCTCGAAGCAAAGGGATGGCTTTTAGCGAAAGAACAATCTCAGAGAGATCCCCCAAATGGAAACGGTTAACAGATGTAGACTAAAAAAGAAAAAGAAGAAAAAGCAGCAGCAGCCAAATAAGCCTGAGACACTAAAGTTACAGTTGCTGTTTTTAACCATCGAAACTCCAAGAGCCTTTAATGTGCACCTACTTATCTCTATTGGGGTATAAACAGCCTTCATTTCTAAGATGGCTTGATCATAGTAACTGTATGCTGCTGAGTTTTTTGAGGAACACACTCTGGGAAAACCTGCTGTAACTGTTTCCTTTTCCATTTTGGCTGCAAAGGAACTCAGGGGTGCACCATCTGTCTGTGCCTGTGGGACCCTGGGGACACATTCTGCAGGGGCCTCTCAGTGGTCTTGTTTACCTCCATCTCCCATTTCCTTTCCATCAAGACTTAGCTTTATTTTTAAGCTGCTTTTTATTTTAAGTACAATGAATAATTTTTATTTTTTAACTAATCAAAAATCAATTTTGAATGTGGCAGGCCATTAATAAGCCAAAGACAATAGTAAGATTTAACTGTTTATTTTGTTCTTAAATTCAGGTTTTCATCCTTCGTTAGCTTTATTTATACTTTTGTTTAAAATAATTTAAACACTATACACAAGCACAGCAGGTGTTTACTAATTTTTAAAGAGAACCAAATTCAAAAAGGTACCATAAACCTGTATTATCATATAGAATCTTCTTACACAAGCATGTGTTAAGTTGACTGATTTCAATTCCCTAGATAAACATTCAACAATAGTATCAAGTGTGATTTCTTTCTTATAAAAGACATATCAAATTTGAAGGATAGTTGACTTCTAGAATAAATTTTAGCTTTATAATTAACCAAGAAATCAAAATAAAGTGGTAAAGTATAAAATAATAATAATAATTTAAATATGACAATGTTTACATAAAACGAGCTAAAAATCATACATGCCACAAAGCTTGTATTTTCAATTATTTCACACTAAATAAAATATTTATCAGTTTCACCACACATACATCGCCAACTCAAGCCAATAGACAGTTTAATACAATGCCTGTTTTATATTTCTATGGGTTATTATCAACACTGAGTTTGTATTTATCAAAGTTATCCAATGTTCTTTTAAATGGAATGGTTGCTACGTTCATGGCTAACCACTATTTTCTGTTTTGCAACACCAATATGCCAGAAGAATATGATCATATTTTTTTATTTCTTTCATCAGAGAAAATGAAACTAATGGTGGCCTTCTTCTCTTCTATGACGACAAGAAAGAGTGACTCATCAACAGCACATTTTCATCCACACACACCCTTCCATCGCATGTTCATCTGCCAGCCGTGGTACTCAAGACATATCACTACTTTTGATTCTGCTTCTCTGATTCACCAGCCCTCCAATATCCTGTTTAAAAAGGGCTATTCCTTCCTTACTGTCACACTCCTAATAGGCCCCACTTCCACAATCACTGCATGAATGTTCACATTCTGTCATTCCATTTCAAAGGGTAGAGAAAATGAGGCATGAGTCAATGTGAAGTTCCACCAATGCTTTTTACTATGTTAAGTGGGCCTGAAATTATGATCTCTTGGCAAGACTCAACATGCGAGGTGACACAAAGCCACCGACCACCAGTACTCCATGCATTCTCCCTGTCACTATCTCCTTACTCTAGCGGAGCGAGGACTGCAGTCATTACGCAAATAAACAAAAAAGGCCTCCCTAATGAGTCAGGGCTGACTCGACGGCACATAACAACATAACAACAAATAACAAAGTCCTCGGAAGGACGGTTGGGCAATCCTACTTCCGTAGTGATACTGCCTCAGAAACCCAAGGAGGGGTCGCTATGAGTCAGGGCCGACTCGATGGCAAACAACAAGTCCTAGGATGAACTTAAGCCCTGGCATCATTGGCCCCTCGTGAGAAGTCACTTTGTTAGAACTTCCAGCCCTCCTCTATACATATGCAGGGGGATAATCTCAAATAAAAAGAAAATGCAACCCATCCTCATAGATAAATTGAGAAATTTCTATGTGACATTAGCATATAAAATATAAGGACATACAGAATGAAATGAAGGGCATACAAAATACATACAAAATAGTAGTCTAGACTCTGCTTCCAAAAGTAGATCTTTTGCTGAAGGAAAAAAATACCAACAAAAACCTATAATTCCAACAGTTCTAGTTGTTTGTCTCAATGTAATGCATTTCCTTATAAAAACATGTATTTACATAAATATGTTTTAAGAACAGTTTTATTCCTCTTTTATATAATACCATAATGATGTTGGCAAACAACCTACCTCACCCACAAAAATGTTTTTTGGTCCAAAATAAAAATAATATAACGTTCCTGTAAATGATAGCAAGCATCTGAAGAGTTAACTCTAGCTTTACTGTAATAAGCAACAGTCTAGAAATAGCCAAAATAATCATGAAAACAACACCAACACAAAAATCAATACAACTATGCCCAAGAAAGCATCGTTATTAGAAGTACTAAACTCACAAGAAAAGATGGTTCTCTGCTTTTTTAAATATGGATTAAAATGAATCTAAGTTTTCTTCTTTCAAGAAAATGCTAGTCCAACTCATACAAAGAAAACTGGACTAAGGTGGAAATGGCCCATACAGTAAAAGCTCATGAATTTTGATTCCACTAACGAATTCTGAGTTGATGGTTACCTCTGCAGTCTGTGTGACAACAAATGAATGACACGAACAAAGCCAATGTCTAGGCTACTTGAACATAAAAGGAAAAAAGACCATTTTCAAGCAACATTTTGGTATTAATTTTAATTCAAACAATGAAGCAAGGAATAGTATAAACTTTCAGCTATCTGTTAAACGAAAGGACTTAAAAAGATTTGCTAAAATACAATTAACTTGTTTTCCTCTTATCTGTCCTCTAAATTATTAAAGAAGCACTTCTTAAAGAATATTTTATAACTCATGTTCCTCTCTGATTTAGATCCAGCTTCTCCATTAATGAGTTGAATTTACACAATTCCTTTATTATTAAATTCCAGAGATCTTGGTTATTGAACACTGTAATTTCATTAACTCCATTTGACTTCACTTTCTTCCACGTTAGCCTGAAAAAGTCACCTAAACATGACTTAATATCAAGGGTATTATAAAATTGTAACACAGTAATGTATCCATTTTAACTGCATAATTAAAAAACATAATACCAAAGCTCAAAAATGTGAACCTCATGCTCCAAATTACTTACCTTCCAAACTTTTTTTGACCATGCACCATTCGCTAAAAAAGTTTGGAATGTATTTCCAACACGTGCATATTTCTAAATTATGTGTACAGCTGTGCTAATATAGAATGTACATTGCAAAATATGCACAAAAATATCAATTTTTAAAGGATGACTCAAAGATTAAACAAATTGTTGTTGTTGTTATGTGCCGTTGAGTCGATTCGACTCATAGCGACCCCTCCTTGGGCAAATTTAAGATGAAATAAATCGTATTCTGGTATGTCTCACTAATGTTAACTAACTTCATGTTGTTGTTAGGTACCACTGAGTCACTTTGCACTCTAAGTGACCCTGTGTACAACAAAACAAAACACTGCCCTGTCCTGCACCATCCTCATAAGTGTTGCCATGTTTGAATCCAGTGAAGCAGGCACTGTATCAATCCATCTCGTGGAAGGTCTTCCTCTTCTTCACTGACCCAATCCAACATAACATCCATTACCAAGCAAAATGTCCTTCTTCAGAGAACAGTCTCTCCTGATATCATATCCAAAGTCTCATCATCCTCCCTTCTAAGGAGCATTCTGGATATACTTCTAAGACAGGTTTCTTCATTCTCCTGACAGTCCTGAAGTCCCTGGTATATTCAATATTCTTTGCCAACTCCATAACTCAAAGGCATCAGTTCTTCTTTATCCCCTTTCTCCTGCTCTTCCGGCCTGCTACTCTGGGTGGGCCTGAGTTGCCTCTCCTCACCTAATCCCTTCGGCTGACTGCTCTTCTCTCTGGC